GTATCGCTATAACGCTCGCGCGAATTATCGTCAAGGGTATCGATTGTGGCGAAGAGCGCGAATTTGCGCGAATATAAAAGAGAATGTACTAATATATCTATGTAAAAGAATATATTAATATGTATACTAATTACTAATATGAATATGTATAAGAATATGTACACGAATATATGTGTAAAAGTGTGTACAAATATGATGCCGAGTAATAAAAGTAGAGTAATAAAAGTAACGAATATATGTGTAACGGCAGGGCCATTACGAACCTACATACATATGTATATATACATACATATACATAAATATATACATATACATATAGAAACGCTTGGCTTACTACCCTGCACTACCCATCCCGCTTGCACGTACACCATTTGCGCTGTCGCAGTCGCTCGCTTGCCTATAGGTCGCACGCGCCGTCTCGCTCACGCTATCTCGCTCGCGGTGCCCCCACGCGATACCGACTCCCCGCCACCGGACCGACGGCGCGCAGTGGGGAACGCCGACCGGGTATATAAGCCGGCCGGCTGAGACATCGAGACCAGATCCTATCCTGCGATCCGACTCCCGATACCGACCTAACCAGTACCTACTACCTCTCGGGGCCAAGGTTTCACTTGGTTCTGCCGGGTTTCACCGGCTTTCTCTACCTTCGGGCTGAGGTTTCACTCAGCTCTATCGGGTTTCGCCGACTCCTGTCACCGCTCCACGGGCTGAGGTTTCACTCAGCTCTGTCGGATTTCGCCGACTCCTGTCACCGCTCCTCGGGCTGAGGTTTCGCTCAGTTCCACCGCCGGTTTCGCCGGTTTCCGTTGCGAAGGCAGGGCTCGACGTGGCACTCGACCCTGCCCGCAATACCTAACCGTCCCGCCTGACATTAACTCGTAAGTGCATGCGATAGAGATTAAGGCCGCTAGTTATAAGTCAGTAATCCTAAGATCCCTAGTGGTAATCGCGCCGTGTAAATAGACCGGTGTCGACCGCACGCCGCACCCGTCCTGCGCATCTCATCGCCTTACGCCACCCGGTTGCGTCTCCGCTTTGCTACCAGCGACACTGCGGCATCACCCGGCTCTGCACTACTCTATATCTACCTTTCCACCAATAAGCGATCTTTTCGCCGCCACTTGTGTTCGCGTACGCTTGAGTCTCCCCTCCTCTCGAACTCGGACACCGACGAGCCGATCCGAGCGTCGAGCGAGGTGACCGCGTCACATATGTACGATGTATACTGAAATAAAGAGAGAGTAATGTGAATCGTCATTAATACGCATCGTTGTTGCGACGATTAACCGACTGTGAGAGAGACAGAGTTTTTTTCCTCGTTCCGAGAATGTATGAGAGTGGGAATCGCGCGAGAAGAAAATTGTCGTAGGAGTATTAATAAAGAGAGAATATTTCATTAGGAATGTGAATGTTGTGCGATGCGTCATTTTCGCGCTCGCTACGCATGACTACGGGAAGTCTGACCGCAACGGCGATAGAAGATTAGTCTATCGTTTATTTCATCGTTCTTTATTTTGTTCTAATTAAAGTGATTGTAATTTCTGATTCGCGACTCGGATCGATTCATCGCGTCGGTCTCCGCCCTCTCGCGACCGATGGCAACATCGATCGAGCGGTTCGCGCGTATTTCGATCGGCGACGCGCAGTGTCGATTCGACTCTCGTCTCGCACGATGACGCGCGGGATCGCGTGCGCGATAACCGTTATCTTGCGACTTCACCGCCGATAGCGACTTCGCCGCCAACAGCTACGAGGAGGCGATTCGGTTTTTGCAAACCTACGGATATCTGGACGGCGAACAATACGTGCAAACAATATCAGATAACGCGACGTTGGCTCTGAGACACGCGATTGCGCTTTTCCAGGAGTATTACCGTATACCTGGTGTTCTTAACGAAGCTACATTGGAACAGATGCGTAAACCGCGATGCGGCGTCAAAGATATATCGAGTGACTTGGACAACTCTCCGAAGAAATGGGCGAAGACGCATCTCACTTGGAACTTTCACCTGGCGAGCGAGAACGTTCTACGAGTCACCGAGGTCGTGTTCGAGATGTGGGCTGCGAATTCGTCGCTGACGTTCGAGAGCGATTCGATGAATCCCGATATCGTGATATCATTTCGGAAAGGTTTTTACACGTTCAGGTAGATCCTCGGCATCGAGGTAGCCGAATATGTCGTTGCTGGACGGACCAGGAAACGTGCTAGCTCACGCTTTTTTACCATCGTCCGAGGTGTCAGAGGTGCACGTGGATAACGCGGAGAAGTGGCACATCGAGCTGACCGCTAATCCTGACGATACGATTCATCTGCTGCATACGTTGACGCACGAGATCGGTCACGCGTTAGGATTATATCACAGTCCTCTGAAAAATGCGATAATGTACGCTTTTGTTCCCTCTAAGACCTTTCCCGTGCGATTGAGCAAGGCGGATTTTCTCGCCATTCAGAATTTATACGGTTTAAGAAATAAGAGCAAAATTGCGAGACCAGTTACGACGATCGTAGCGACGACCATGATCGCGACGCGCGACACGGGGGATTCCGCGGATCTATGCGCGTTGCGACGCGTCGATGTGGTGTTGGTGTTAGAAAATAGAATGTACGTGGCGTATCGACACTACTTATGATCGGTCGACCTAAACGGAAAATCTTACGGCAGGTCGTTGTTACTGACTATCTGCGTTTTCTTCCCGATAATTTTACGCGTTTGGCGCGTATCGACGACCCTCGGGCCAACTCGTATTGTTTGTTGACGATACGGTTTACATGATAGAATATCCGAGTTTTGAGCTAGTATCGGATTGGCCGAGGAAATTGAGAGATATGAATCTTCCTCCCAATGCGAAAATCAACGCTGTGGTTAATACGCGGGGCGAACGTTAACGATTTACAACGACGAGATCGTGGCCGAGATTGACGATTGCTCAATGATAGCCATTAGACATAATTCGTTGCACGCGATATTTCCGGGGATTTCACCCGCTGTAACGTCCGCTGTTCGATACATCGACGGTAATCTGTACTTTCTCGTTAAACGACAGTTCTTCAAGTACAACGAATTTATTAGAAGTGTAACTATGGCCGGTAAATTTGATTCAGAGATTTTTGATTCAGAGATTATCGTATGTCCAAGGGACGGACTGTTAGAGCAATTGCGCGCTCTTTTGAAAAGACTCGCTCAGATGAGGAACGTATTTTCGAGAGAGGATGATTTAGAAGAGGAGAGGGAGGAGGAAGAGGCACAGAAGTTTTCGTATAGTGTATAGAGCTAAGGATACGAAACATTTACGAACAGTATCGTGCGATCTCTTCGATCATAAAGATGTACGATATCGAGCACTCGCAGGATTCCGAGACGCGCCGAGTCGACGAGAGCGACGACGCGAAAAGAAGAAAGAGGACGCTCGACGATGATAGGCCGATCGCGTCGAGTCATAGTAATGCCGGTTGTATGAACAATCCAGTTAGAATTCTAGAACGAAACATTTCCTTGACTAAGACGGGATACAAGTTTCTTAATGTATGTGTCACTCTTGAACGCTCCTCGCGCGTGAATATTATCCTGGGAGATAGTCATGGCAAGGAGGTCTCGATGTCGCCCGATACGTGGAGGCAGCTTGTCGAGCAACGACACGTTCCCTCGAAGTATCTGCAGAGTACCAACGGAGAACTGTCCTTTCCAGCCCCGTCGCATATTGGAAATATGACCGTGCGTTTCGGAAAAATCAACAACTTGACGATATTACGCCTGAAAACATCCGCTGCTCGCTTGGCCATGTCGAAGGAAACAGTGAATAACATGTTCGAGCTCGAGCATTGTATCAGCAGATTCGTTATCTCGTTGACCAAGATATTAGGAAAAATAGGATGCGAAATTGGCACGTTTCAAAGATATCGCGTTTACTGCTAAGGATACGGAAAATATCTCGAGTCATACACGATAGCGATGCCTTCGATCGTAACGATATTATCAATTGCGAACTCGTTGCTCTGTACTTTGGGATGTAAGATTGAGATGAAATAAAGTGAGATATATTATAAACAATGTTTTTTTGTATTTCCTCAAGCATGTATATAAGTGTAGCGAGCGATAAAAGAATTCGATTATAGTATAAGCAATGAATCTAATTATAATATATAAGCACTGAATCTAATATATGATACAATAATTGAAAACCAATCTGACATATGATATAAGTCGTTAACGCGATATTACAATTCGGTGATACATTCCCGTCGTTTCGACCACCAGTCGTACAGTTTGCACACGTTTTCCATAGCGCAATGCTTCGCGTGATGCTCGCAGTGAAATGCTCGAACGTCGTCCAAAGTGCTTAGGCGCCCTATATCCTCGAAATCCGCGTCGATAGTCTCGACGATCACGTCGTGGTCCGCGATGAGGTCGCAGCCGAGAATCTTCTCTAACCACCTCTCGTGCGCGTCGTCAAACGTCTTATTTCCATTTCTAGTATATAGTTCAACTTCTAGTACGTAATTCGATTTTTAGCGTATAGTTCCATTTCTAATTCTAAATAAGTAGTCTCAATTGTCCATTTTTGTGTTATTGAATGATATCTCGTGAGTGTAATCTTAAATCGAATGTCTAAATAAATTAATATTATAATTGAACTTCCACGTGTCCATTCTTTCGCGCGTACCATCACCGCATCGATTAGTGAAAGTGTTCACGAGGTAGTGAGGTTTCACGCGTT